GGCGAGATCGATGGTTCACTGCATTTCTTTCCAATACTTTCAGCAAGTTTTGACATTGAGTCATGATAAAAGAGAGTTGCTGGTGGTCGAGGGACGTAAGAATATTTAAATGCTGAGGAAGTACTCCATCCTTCCGCCATCTTTGATATTATAAACAGCTTTTGGCAGGGAGGGGAGGGTGAAGGATTTACTAAGTTTACAACAAAGATACATCATGATCAAAAACAAATATAAGGCCCATAGGTATATTTTTTTATTTATTTAGCCGTTTCTGTACTATTTCATGAAATTTTAACTTTCTATCACCTTTCAAACCCGCTTTTCGAAGAGAAAATGAACAGAATTTTTCCCTCCCCTCCCCTCCCCTAGCACAAAATGTTTTGTGTATTGATCGCGGGCTCAAGGTAAACAAAAAGTTGTTCAAATTCAAATTTCAAGATCATCGTCTTTTTGTGTTGTGCTCCCATTTTGTCAATRRAATAGTGCATTTTGTTGTCATAATATGTCCACAAGGGCGATAGACTTTAACTCAACAGCTTATGCCAAGACAAAAAGCTTCATAGCTAAAGAAAATGCTGCTTCGATCGCAAGAGCAAAAGAAAGCCGTAAACAAGTTRTAGCTCCCCCCGCCGGGGTCAAAAGCTCTTGGACGCCGTTAAAGCAGGACTTAAACGAAAAGGTTTGAGGTTTTAGTCAGTCATATKAAAGGTGTTATAAAAGTTCTTGACTTTCCCTGTTTGTTTTGATCAGCTGTTTGACGAACGTAAAGAACTTGTTGGCAACTGGGTAAGTTTCACGTTATTTTCAAATGTCAAAATAAACTCGGTTTACCCTAATTACCTTGRTATATTGACATAGCAGTTTGTGTTGACGGAGAATTCAATTTTAGTCAAGCAAAATYGCTAGTTAATAAAGTTACAGTATAGTTCATTGTTTTGGATGATTGTCCGCAGGTAGCCCAAGCCTTGCGATCTGACTTTATACGCATGTATAAAATTGTACCGTACTACAAGTAACATCATTTAAGGAATAATCCTATTCAGTGGAATATACAGTTTTAGTTAATTCAAATTTTGTGCTCTACAGTTTGATAGATGGTCTGATTTGCAAAGAAGAACAGTTCTAGAAATCTTGGTTTCCAAATGCAAACAATCTCAACTACAATACACATTCTCTCTACTAGATGAWTACATACCAGTAACCCATGTAGACTTTACTAGAAAACTGCCTAGAATAATAACAGTGTATATATTCTCCTTCCTGGACCCTCGTAGTCTGTGCCGCWGTGCTCAGGTTTGCTGGTACTGGAGGTATCTCTCTGAACTTGATCAAATATGGATGCCCAAATGCATGAAGTTTAACTGGGTATTAACATTTGTACCAAGTCCATTTGAACAAGGAGTATGGAAACGACATTATCTGGAATGTGTCAGAGGACTTCAGTATGTGAGACCTAAGGTAGTRACATTCTTGTACATTTACATGAGTACAATTAATTTGTTATAAGTTAATTATGGTACATAATGATGTGATATTACCAGTAGCCATTAACTAGGAGCGTTATGATGGGTATTTGGTTTGGTCCAGTGTTTTCATAGACATGTGTATTTTTTAGATTATTTTTGACCGATAAGCGATCACTGCTAGTATTATGTGCTAGTGTTATACCAAAATAATATTTAATAAGCAAAGTTTATGGACAATAGTGAAATCAAATTGTCTTCTAGTCTTTCTGAAGTAAGTTATAGTAAAGAGTACAGTACTACTAAAGAGATGACTGAAGAAAAATCTAAAAATAGACTCGTCTATGGAAACTCCACGACACTCCTGGTTAAGGACTCCTGATTTTCAATCTACTTAAATACCATGGACAGTACTATTTCTCTTTCTCAGTATTTTATTCATCTTCAAGATGAATTGAGGTGACAAGATCTTGTTATCTTCATTTTTTACTGATTTGCTCCTGTTAAATTATTTTGCCATATGGTAACTATAGTCTCCACCAGTGTTGCCAGAGCCAACAGCAGCCATACATGAAAGAGGACCAGAAAAAAGAAGTAAAAGTATGACAAACTTGAGTTCACGGAAACTCTCCAAAAAAGGCAGTAATAGTGATYTCCCTCCMTGGAAGTCTACTACGTCTAGACCTAATGAAATAGCGTGGAAGGCAAAGAGAGAAGGCCCTACCACTGGCTGCAGGTAAAATTTAATTGGCTTAAATGTTCATTTTTGATTTGTTGGTTGTGTAAGATTGTAATTGGTTCATTAGATGGTTGCTATAGTAATGACATAGGTTTTATTCTGTTCCTCACGCTTACATATATTTCATGAGCCTAACTCGCCTCCTAAAGCTGGGTGCAATTCACGTTTTCGTACTCCTCGAACAACTATACTTTTAGCCGGTACCGCGGTCGAACTCTCTCTCACGCACAAAGCGCGACTCCTTAAAAGAGTCTACCAAGGCCCAAGGGACGAGAAATAAACAACTTAACATTTCAAAGCTACATGAAAATAAACCCCTGTCACACTATTGGTTGTATTGGATGGCTGGGTGGTTGGTTGATTTGGTGGTTGGCATGGTATTGGTTGGTTCTTATACTAGGTTGGTTGGTTGGTTGGCTGGTTATTTCAATTGTTGGTTGGTCTGTGTTTGTAGTTTCATTTGCTGGTAGATGTTTTTTGGCTTGATGATATTGATGGTTAATTTGAATTGATATATTTTTATGTGATATGTAAAGCTACAATAATTAGCTCAGCCAAATACATTCAACAAGWATTTTCAAAATWTGCCATCCATCCTTTTCCCATTGCAAATGTTTTTTATATTCAAATGTTGCAGAAGATGTCACATGTCTTCCCATACRACAGAAGATGAACATTCTCAACATTCACATTCTGAAAATCTTAGAAAGACAAGTTCAGGACCCAAGAACAAACCAAGAATACGACCAGCATCAGTAAGTTTTGTGATTATGATAGTACGGAACAGTCCTTGGCCTCCATAAGCAGACATTCCAAGGGGCTCAATTCTCTCCCGCAGAAGGAATCGAACCGCTTGGAAACGTCTGCTTACATGTATCCTTATTGAGACACAGGGAAACTTTAGTAAACAGCAAGATGGCAGCACTCCTATCATATGTGGCTTAGGCTCTATTCTTGGACAAATGTCAGGAAATGTGGACACTCAAAAGCTCATTATAAAAAAGACAAATCCCCTATAGGGAATGCAACAAGAAAGAAGGCAAATAGAGGGGAAGGGATAACATATCTTAAAAAGTATAAAATATCTTATTTAAGGAAACAGGAAAACAAGGAGATTGGTAACCCAGGATATATTGCAAACAATTGACGTCATTTTTTGTTACAGGCTTCATTTGCTCCAGAGTCAGAAAATACAGGATCAAAGTTTGACTCCAGAGCTGGCAGACCCGATTGGGCTGTTCAGGCAACAATATCATCTGTGTCAGCTAAACGACCTCCGCCTCCTACAGTTAAACCTTCCCTAGAAACACTTGGTAGTAAACGTGTACCAAGACACTTACCCTGTAAGTACTATACAAAATACATCACCTCTCATCCTCAGGAGCCAAGACATACGTCATGTAATCTTCTGTGTTGTTCTTTTCCTAATTCATGTTTCGTCTGCACTTTCTGGGAGTAAGAAACAAACAGCAGAAGAATACACCAGGGTTCCTGAGGATGATTGGTCCTTGGACTGACCGGCAGATAAATTGGGTAGCCCTTTATCCAATTGGTTTACTAGCTTTTTATTAAATAAAAACAATAGGATTTACATGTACGAGCAAGGAAACAATGATTGTTTTATTCCTCTGATCACAAAAAAACCTTAGTTACAAACTTGTGAAGGATAACAGGGTAAATACTCCAGTTTGGAATTCATAGCGAAAAACCGCTGCTTTATTCGTAGTATTGAGATTGAGAAGTTGGACAATAACATCCAAAATCAAGCTTTTTAAGCAGATGTTCGATAATACCTCACAGTCACAATTGAATAAATTATTCAATGATTAATCATTTGTTATTGATACATCATTACAGCTCCTCCATTGTTCCAAAGTCAGCCCTGGAGAAAACCTGCTCACTATGACTCTGATGATGACGACATAGATTAACTGGAAAATAGTAACATGTCATAAAGTACAAGCAAGAAAATACTATATCAGACTTGCTGAAAGCAGGTGGTCAAACCTTACAGCAAGTGTAGCTAGTGGACTACATCAACCCAGAGAGAATATATAATGGCACTTTTAGATCGGTATAAATTATGTAACATGATATATTCAATGTAAATAAATTTGTACTTATTTTAATAAAACTGTTCACCATATGAAACTATAGGCCGCAAAAGCAGATGCTTTGAGAGCGCTTACACGGGCTTCCTAGCACACAAACGGTATGACGAGCTCRCTTTGTCAACTTAAAATATTGTGCTTTGTGCCACTTTCAATATAGATTAAAACCGATAAAAAACTATAAAATAAAATTACGGAAAGAGCAAGGGTGCGCATAGCTCACTTCAGTCTGGTGCAAATGCTTTCAACATTTGCTTCAACTGTCAAATGCGGTTGCGAAGGACTTTCAACATGTTTCAACG